ACAACGTGAGGTCGTATTTATTTTTTAACGTGCGGAAATTTCGGATGAGAATTTCGGACTCTGTGTGCAAAGACCTTATGAATCAAAAGGAAAAACACATTACATAATGCTTGACAGATCATTATTGCACATGAACAGGTAGTTCGAAATATCTGTATTATATATATTTAAAAAAAAATTAACATTCATTTATTCATATTTGACTGATCTGTTCAACATTATATTATGAAAATGACTAACCCAATGTTATTATAAAATGTCACCTATTTTTTGGTCAGAAATGTAGCACCTGTCGAAGTGTTTCTGAAGTTTTTGTGTGCGTATGTCAAATGATAATTCAGAGTGACTTGTGAGGTATTATTACACTCCTAGGATTGATTTATTCAAGCTGTAGTGGTGATTATTATGTCATCGTATGAGATAAGTTGACACGTTTCCATAGTGATAATGTGACTGTGGGAGTTCTCTTAATGGATCATTTAACAGTGCAGCTCAGTAATGTTTGTAAAAAAGTGCTGCGTTCTATTAAAGAGCTGCCTTGTAATCGATTGCGTCGCTGCACGGGGGCATTTCCAATTTTTAAGAGACAGCTTGCCAAAATAATTTCTCACTGTTACAAGCAGCAATAATGTAGTTTGTGTCATGCTTTAAGATGCACAAGCAAAACATTTTGAGTGGTAAATAGTGCGCAGTCTCTTTAAATGATCCTGTTTTGCAGCAGATAAGCCACATATGGTAAAATTACATTACCCATGTGGATGAGGTCACCGTGTGAACGGCTCCCGTTTGCATGAGGCAGGAAACAGACATAGACACTGGATGTTTCACTGGAAGTGCACCACATCTCTGAAGCGATTGTGCTTCATTTAAATGGCATGATTCCCAGCCTTGAAACTTTTATGTATTTCTTTTCTGGAAGTTCCTGCAGATGTGACAGTCTGATGACCCTGTCTGCTTCTGTGTGTGATAAGTCTGTTTTGAAATGAGGTTTGTGGATGGGTCATGAGGTTGGGTTAGTCCCTTGAATGCTTTGGTGTCCATTTCGTTATTGTATTGTGGCATTTAGAGCAATGCATGCTGGGAATTTCCAAGATAAGATCTGGCAGCTCACACAGGAGAGCTCTAATAACCTTGTGCTGTGTATTAAGATCAGTTGTTAAACCTTATAAAGGCATAAAGCAAATGTGATTTTTTTTCTTCTTTTTTTTGGCTTTCAAGCCTTGTATGATTCGATTGTTTGTAGAGCTTTATCTATATGAATACTAGTTGTGCTAACAAGGTTTTCAGAAGTATAACAACGCATGACTAACCGGGACTTGCCACAGCACTTACATATTATTGCTCCTTTGTTGGTTTGATTGCTTCTATTGTCCGCATTTGTAAGTCGTCATGGATAAAAGCATCTGCTAAATGACTAAATGTAATGTAAATGACTCTAGAGTAGTTCACCTATAATTCATCATTTACTCATTCTAATGTTGTTCCAAACCTACTGAAGTTTTTATATTCTTTGTAGAGCACAAATTTTTTTTTTAAATGAATGTTTGCGCTGCTCTTCTTCATACAACAAAACATTGTGACCAGGGCCTGTCAGGCCCAGAAAAGACAGACAGATA